TCTCTCTCTCTCTCTCTCTCTCTCTCTCTCTCTCTCTCTCTCTCTCTCTCTCTCTCTCTCTCTCTCTCTCTCTCTTACTTGTTTTTTCCTGTGCAGGCTCTGCACACTGACACGGGAGGATGAATCAGACTCTGCCTTCGCCAGCCGCTCCTCGCTTTCAGATGCACGCATTAGGTAAGCACGTGACAATTCAATGGTGTACATTTTGCTGTGTACCCCTCCTATTAATAGGCTATTATGCTATTGGCCCTCGGATGGCCGAGTTGTACATTGTATGCGGTCTCCCATTTCGTCGGCGTCGGTGTATAGTGTTGAGATAAGGTAGATGTAGTGACGGCAGTTGTTAAAAAGCTAGCGAACTACTCGAGGTAGGAGATGTCTCTTGTTTGTGGTTGGAAGCCCGGTTGTTGAGTTTGTGACTTTGCACAGAATGGAGGAGTATCGCCGGTTTTTTGACGCTGCATTTTCGCCGCCGTTTTTTTTATGCAGACTTGGACCCGACTGCCTTGGCCATGTTCTTGTTGTTCTTGTTGTTCTTGTTCTGGCTCCGGTCTTTTCCAGCGGTCGGCAGCGGTTTGATACTTCACGACACTATGCGATTCGAACTTGGCATCATCGGCTTTTGTCCGTTTAGGTTTATTCCTATAGAGTAGCCTGCTTCAACAATTGAGTTCCTTTTTTCTTTTTCTTTTGTTGCTTTGTGGGGGGGGTGGGGGGGAGAGGGGCGCAGAGTGGAGAGGAGGTGCCCACTCTGCTCTTGATTTTTTTTTGTTTATCTGGGCAAGTAGTGGCCGTATGTGCAGCGTTGAATGATGTCGACAATTTTTTTGCATTTGCTCTCTTTTGTTTGGGGAAAGATGCATTTTTTTGCTATTTTTTGTCATTGGCCAACTTTTTGCATTTGCTCTCTTTTGTTTGGCAGAGAGCATTCCTAATGTGTGAGGGAGAGAGCATTCACAAAGAGTCGTCACAATGTGGTTGTCATCGGCCATCTCATCACGTATGTCGGAGTTCGGCAGAGAGCATTCACAATGTGTGAGGGAGAAAGCGAGGACTGCGCCATCTCAGCAAATGTGTCGGACAGTCTGGGGAATGGTCAGGTAGTCGGTTGTGTGTGTATGTGTGTGTGTGTGGTGTGTGTGTGTGAGAGAGAGAGAGAGAGAGAGAGAGGGGGGGGGAGAGAGAGAGAGAGAGAGAGAGGGAGACGATAAA